GAGGAGGAGGAGGAGTAGTAGGAGGAGGAGGAGGAGGAGGAGGAGGAGGACCCCGCATCGCGGCGGCAGGGATGACGTGTACATGTCGCGCGATTGCGCGGTCAGGGTGATCGGCGCCTTCGCCGACGTCGCCAAGCCGCCTGGGGATGCCGCGATCGAGCGGACCCTCTCTCGTTACCGCGCTCAGGACGACGTGTCTGGCCCGGGAGCTAGTGCGCCAGCTGCATATCACATCGATGCCGTGCCCGAGGTGCTCAAGCTCATGCGGGTGCACGTCGGCCCAGAGGAATGGAGCAGCGTTCACCGGCAGTTGAGGCGCAAGGCGACTGCGGATCTCTAGGCCTCCTAGATGGGGTCCGAGTAGATGGGGTCAGAGGATCGCGCCGCATCGCCGATGCATCGCCGATGCAGCTCGATGTGCAGCCCGATTTCCTCCACGTCGACGTCGCCGATGCATCGCCCACGTCGGCGCCTCATCGCTGGTGCATCGCCGATGCATCGTCGATGCATCGCCGATGTATCGCCGATGTATCGGCGATGCGGCGCGGTCCTCCGACCCCATCTGTTCCGACCCCGTCTAGGAGCCCTCTAGGATCTCCTGTCCTCGGAGTCGGGCGACGACGGCGGCGATGAGGATCCAGAGCATCCAGCCTCAGGCGTTCTCGAGCAGGTTGGTGAGATTCATGAGGGCGCTCCAGTCGTTGCCATGGGCCCCCCTTCGGACCCGGACGGCATGGAGGGTGCCAGCTTTGAGGAGGTGCTAGCCGCATATCGGGCATCACAGGATAAGGTTTCGCAACTAGAGCAGAAGCTCGCGGCCGCTGGGAGATCCAGGAGGCGGTTCAGAATGCTTGCGAAGGGATGGAAGGCCCAGGCGGCAGCCGAGACACGCCGTCGGGAACGTGGCGAGTACAAGGCGGGTTCGGGCCGGTACATGAGCATTCACGGCGGCATGACTCTCGCGATCAGGAGGTGCGCTACTTCAGGCTCCCGCGGCCCCGCGGCTTGAATCAGGGGCCAGGGGCGATGGGCATGATGGGCACGGCCCACAGGAGGAGGAGAGGAGGAGGAGGAGGAGGAGGAGGGGGGAGGAGGAGGAGGGGGAGGAGTCCCGGGGAGGAGGAAGGAGGAGGAGGAGGAGGAGGGCGAGGAGGAGGAGCAGGAGGAGGAGGAGGGCGAGGAGGAGGAGGAGGAGGAGGAGGAGGAGGAGGAGGAGGAGGAGGAGGAAGAGGGGGGGGGGGGAGGGGGAGGACGAGGGGGAGGCGGAAAACCGATGTGGTGTGGCGGTGTGGGGCCCAGGGGGGCCCGCCCCAGGGCCGACGAACCGTCCCCCTCTGGGCCTCTGGGCCCCTTTGGGGCCTCTTCTCCCTTCCCCGAGCGGCCCCGAGCGCGGCGCCGAAGCAGGCGCGCGCCGCGCGCTCAGGGCAGCCTCAGGGCAGCGGCGGCAGGGGGGCCTGGCGGCGACGCTGCCCGAACAACACAACGGGTAACCTTAACCATGCATAGCAAGAAGTTAACCACGCATAAAGAATTCCTACATAAAACACCATACGAAAACACTATATCAAAACACTAGGAAAACACTATATCAAAACACTAGGTTAACACACTATACTAAAACACTACATTAAACACTATACTAAGACACTATACTACGACACTACAGTAATGAGTAATGAGTACGACACTATTAGTGTAGTGTATGCGTGTAGTATTTTAGTGTGGCGTTTTAGTGTCGGGTTTAGTGTAGTGTATTAGTGTGCGGCAAGAATCGGTATTCGTGTAGTGTATTTGCGTAGTGGATTCGTGTACTGTTTCAGTGTAGTGTTTTAGTGTAGTGTATTAGTGTATAGGGTAGTGTTATAGTGCGGTGTAGTAGTGTTGTGTATGAGTGTAGTGTTTTATTGTAGTGTTTAGTGGGAAGTTATGCATGGTTAAAGCGCGCCCTCATGACACAACCCTTCTGCCTTCTACTTCTTTACTTCTCCCTCCTCCTACTACTCATCCGCCTCCTCATCCTGGCTCTGGACCCCTCCTCTCTCCTCGCGGCGCACCGCTCCCCCCATTTTGTTTATCGGGCTGGCCCCTTCCACCTCTGCCATCCAATCCTATCCTCCTCGGACCCTCCTCCGCCACTCCTCCGCCTCCCCCCTCCGCTCGTCCTCCAGTTGCCTCGCCCTCTTTGGTTCGTTCTCCCAGAGCCCCCACAGGCTGCGCGGGTTTCCCGTGGGCGGGATCTCGGAGGGTGCTCGTTTGAGCGGGATCTCCAGGGGTGCTCGTTTGATTCGCTTGATCCCCCTCCTCCTCCAGGTGCCGCGACTTCGTTCGGGCTGGCGGTGCAGGAGGACGTCCACCACTCCACCGTCTGCCGGTGGGAGCTCCGCTGCGCCGCCTCGCTGCTCGCTGGGTCCCACGCGGTGTACCGCGCGATGTCTGAGTGCTTCCGCGACCCAGAGGTCGATGGCGGCGGCGTCGATGTCGATTGGGTTCTCACGTTCGGGCTCCACTGTTACCGAGCGGACGCCTCGAACACGCAAGTGTTCGAGAAGAAGGTGCGGGTGCAGGAGGTATCCTCGTCGTTTCTCCCATACGCCCTTCCTGTAAATGTCGACGTCAACATCGGGGTCGTCCGCGAGGCACGTGAGAACATGGTTTACCATCATATGTTCTGCGATTTGCTCACTCCGGAGGGGTCGACGGCGCAGTGTGCTCTGTCGATGACCAAGAAGCAGTGGACATCTGTTGGGTGCCCGCCGTGGACGCGGGAGCTGAAAAAAATTGAGCGGTTGTCCAGCTTTGTCGAGGGCGACGTCGTCAGGGAGTTCGTGCCGCCGCCGCCCCCCTGCGACGGGCGCCTGGCCATCATTCCGCTCGCGACCATTCACGCTTGCACCGACAGCGGCGGCGACGAGGCGGCTGCCAAGGCGTCCATCGCCCGGGAGATTGCGGATGACCTGTTCACGTTCTTTATTGATGTACCTTGTTTGTTCCACCAGTTGCATTTAGCTGTGAAAAAAAGTTTGGTGACATCAGATTGGCTGTTGCACTGCTTGGGCAAGGCATTCAATTATTTTTCATCTGTGGCCAAAATCCAACATACGTGGAGAGATAAGCGGGCGGCCATCTACAACGCGTGGTCTAAGGCCTCGCCTGATACCGCAGCAAAGGCTAGAGCCAAGCCGCCATGTGCCATCGGGGGGCGGTGGGGCAGCGTCCATGCGGCGGAGGACTATTTGTTGCTGCATCATGTCCCTACGTTGCAGAAGGTCTTCAACACCGTGTTCAACAAGGACGCGGCGCCCCCCCTGGCGGCGGCTTTGCTCGGCGCCGCGGAGGCGAAGGCAAAGGCGAAGGGCGCGGCCAAGGCAGTGGCCGCAGGGAAGGCCGCGGTCAAACCGGCGGCCAAACCCAAAGCCACGGCGGGGTCGGCTACTACAGCGACGACTACATCGGCGGCCATTGTCCCGCACGTCGACGGCACTCAGGAGCGACCGCCGGCCCCTCTCCCTTTGGGCCAACTTGGGCCCCTCCCCCCCCCCCGCACTTGAGGAAGAGGAAGAGGAGGAGAGGAGGAGGAGGAGGAGGATATCGAGGACGAGGAGGAGAAGGACCAGGGACCCAGGGAGAACCCAGGATTCCCAGGATGCATCAGCGATGCTGCTCCGAGTTCGTCGAAGGGCCCCATCCGCCGGCCCGTCCGCGCCTCCAGCTGCGCGTCATCAATCGTCACATCATCCGTGGTCCGTAGTCTCCGCATCTCAATCCAGCCGTGCTTTTTTGTTTTCGCGCCTCCTGCCTCCGCTGCGGAGTTCCGTTCGCCGCGCGGCCCTGCATGGCTGACGTGCACGCCGCGTTGCTCGTGGCCTGGACGGTCCTCTGCGTCTTGCTGACGCACAAGGTTCATCCTATCCTTCTCCTCCTCCTCTTCCACAGTCCTTCCCCTCCTGCTTCCTCTTCCCAACTTCCTACCCCCTCTCCTCAGACGATCGCGGTGCTGCGTCGCATGGGCGTCATGGGCTTGGCCCCGGAGGTGGAAATGGTCATGACGACGGCGACGACGACCGTGACGGAGGAGGAGGTGCCTGCTGAGCCTGCTGAGGTGCCGCCACCGCCCCCCCCCGAAGCACCCGTGCCCGTACGTGGCTGCTGCGACGCCGCCGCCGCCGCCAAAAGCCAACCCTGACTTGCCAGGCCGCCCGCCATTCCCGCCATTCCCGACAACCTCGAGTACAAAGACGTTGCGGCGGACGGTCCAGGTGCAGGGGCCTGTGACGTACCTCCGTCATCGGGCCCAGCCGCGCTTTCAGCCAATGGCTGAGCGCGAGTGGGGGGCTTGGTCGGACTAGGCGACCCGTGACGCGGCGGCGCCGACAGAGGAGCTCCCAGTTGGCTGGGGGGCTCATCCTCAGGACTCATCCTCGCGAGAAGTCTAACCTTCCTGGCCTCCTCCTCCCTACTCCTCCTCCTCCTCCTCCTCCTCCTCCTCCTCCTCCTCCTCCTCCTCCTCCTCCTCCTCCTCCTCCTCCCCCCTCCTCCTCCTCGTCATCGCCATCCCCCTCGGCGTCTGATCGAGCGGAGGGGATGAGCTGAGGAAGACAAGCTGACAACCCGGGGAAGCAGA